CCGGGGGGGGGGGGGGGTTCTCAGAGGACTGAGTTCTTCTGAAAGCTTCAAGTCACCACGACATGGCCACCTCCTCAGAGAGCCCTCTGGGGCTCCCTATTGTTTTTTTTTAAGTTTGTTCACTTATTTCTTCCATGAGCAAGAGACACTCACAGAGAGATGGGCACCCCCATAGGACCTCACTTCGATCCACCCCCCAGCTTCAGCTAGCCCTGGGCCATGAGTGCGCATACTCTCAGGGGGTGCCTTAAAATGACAGATATGGGGCCAGCAGGTGGTGTGGAGGATAAGGCACTGGATCCCACATGGCCGGCTGCATGGTTCGAGTCCTGGGCCCAGTGATTGACAATCACCCTGGGCACATGTGTGTGCATGCCCGAAGTCCCCAGAGGAGAATGGCAGAGAAGAGGTTGTGGTGTAACTGTTACAGTCTAGTCAGTGAGAAGTAAGAGGGCGTCTAGACACAGCCACATTTACTGGAGTTGATTGAGCCGGCGGCATAACAGGGGCACTCGTGTCTCCCAAAACCCGCAGCCTCGAGTGAAAGGAGAACGGTGCTTGTAAAGGCAAAGATGACGATGCGCTGATTACGAGGACAAAGTGTGGTGGGCTCGGAAGGGTAGGGGTAGATTTTACAGTGTAAAAGCAAGTGGAAGTGTATTACAGAGGCAGAGCAAGTGGGGAAGTAGGTTGATTATTCCCAAGGGCACGTTCTGTCCCTGCCTAAACACAATGGCATCTCAACGCTCGCTCTCCATGGCTCTGGGCAAGGTTCCACAGTTGGGGACTAGAGATTATATCTTTTTTTTTTTCTTTTAAAAAAAATATTTATTTTTGAATTTTAAATTCATTTATTTGCATTCATTCACTGGACATCATTGCAGTATACAAAATGAGATTTTCCACCTGGTATACACTGTGTATTGGCTCAGTCAAGGACATCACCAGATGTGTTATTGTCAAGAAATAATTCTTCGTTTCTTGTTTCTTTCCTTTTCCCCCCTTGATTCCTTCCCTCTCACCCTCTGCCATTTCCACCCTCCTCCTACTCTGTCTCTGATACCTACCGTTCTTTCCACACCTCTTTTTCCCCCCACATTTTATTGATTCACAAAAGATCTTAATTAATCTAAATTTTTTTTGGGGGGAGAGGTTTTTCGCTATAGGGCGCGGGCGCTCACCAGACAGACAGAGAGAGACAGAGAGACAGAAAGCGAGAAATCACCCCCCAGAGGGGATGGTCATGCCACAATCCCTTCTCCTCCATTCTCCTCTCGGGATCTTGGGCATGCACGCACACGCGCCCGGCGTGAGTTTTAAGCCACCGGGTCCGGGACGCGAACCGCGGTCGACTACGTGGTAGTCCAGCGACATAGCCATTACGCTAACTGCTGGTTCCCAATCTAAATATTTTCAGTCATAGAGATTGGATCTTAAGGCAACCAGGAGGAGTGGGGTTTTAAGGACAATAGGAATGTTAATCATGCTTAGGCAAAAAGGAGAAGGCAAGTTTCTAGTTGGGAATCTAACAGTCTGTACTGGAGGTGCTCTTCCAAGATGGAGTCACACTTGCTTCATAACCATACCCCTGGGGGAGGTGAGGGGTGGGGGCGATTTCTCACTTTTCTTCTGTCTCTGTCTCTCTGGTGAGCACAAAACCCAAAGCAAACAAGTAAAACCACAGAGATGTATTCTGTCACATTCTGGAGGCCAGAGTCAGACTTGAGGTGTCAGAAGGTATCTGCAGAGCCGCAGTGCCGCCGGAGGCTCTGGAGAAGACGTGTTCCTTGTCTCTTCCAGCCTCTGGAAGAGCCTTGAGCAGGATAGGCGCCATACCTTGAGCTCTGCCCACCTCCTCACCCTACCTCCCTGAGACCTAGCTGCAGGCTACTGTGACTATGGCCCAGGTGCTCCCTTACCTCGTGGAAGTGGCCCATAGCCAGCACCATCCCAGAGGCGTGCACACCCCTCCCACATCGACAGCACGGGACTGGGGCCCTGAACCCTAACACTGCTGGTTCTGCGCATCGATCAGCTGACCTTTACTGTAACCTTCCAGCAATGCCGCTGCAAACCAGACCCCTGACTTGGCGACAGAGGGCCCGCACTCATTTCCCATTGCTATCCGAATGCTTTGTTCTTCTCGGATGTCGCCTTGTTCAATGACAGTATGGACAGTTCGCCACCCACCGTCAGCGGAACACCCCGTTCTGTGTAAGGAAACGCTTGTCCTCCTCTGCTGGACTCTAGGTGTGTGCGTCGGCATTGGTAGCATTTGGGCACGCGGTGTCCGATGTGGGCTTCCCGGCACACTGGGCTTCCTTGGTGTGTGGCCGACTCGCTCCAGTCTGCCTCTGTCTTCATTGGCCTTCTTCCTGGGCGTCGGTGTCTCTTCTGTCTTAAGAGACACCCATCACGTGGCTTCTGGTACTTTCTGGTAAGCTAGGATTATGTTATTGCACAACCCCTAACTTAACCCTTTTTCCAAAGAAGAGCACCAGTCCAGGGATTCGGACATAGATGTACCTTTCACGGGCCGCCCTTACTCCTAAACCGCTTAGTCTGCATCCGGGCTAACGCTATGTTAACGCCAAGCGAAGACAAGCAGTTGGTAAACCGCAGTCAGTCCATTTCCCTTGTTCACAAAAGTTGAGCACTTGTTCTCTTTTATTAAAAAAAAAAAGAATTATTTATATTTAATTATTTAATTATTTATTTATTTATTTTAATTCTACCAGAGAGGGACAGAGTGAGAGAGAGAAAGAGAGAGGGAAAGTGAGAAAGCAAACCACGAGATCTGGGACTTGAACCTTGGTTGGCCATGTGGGAGTCCAACACCCTTAACTACCATACCACCTGCTGGCCTTTGTTGAGTATTTGTGAACAAAGAAAATGTCAAAGAGAGAGAGAGAAATCCTGGGACAAATTTTTTTTTGAGAGTTTTTTTGTTTTTTTGGTTTTTTTGCTATAGGGCGCGTGTGCTTGCCAGACAGAGACATAGAGACAGAAAGCGAGAAATCACCCCCCCCAGGGGGATGGCCACACTGCAATCCCTTCTCCTCCATTCTCCTCTCGGGTATGCACACACACACACCCAGCACGAGTTTAAGCCACTGAGTCCGAGACTCGAACTGCAGTCGACTACGTGGGAGTTCAGCAACGTAGCCATTACGCCAACTGCTAGCCCCAGGAATAGGTAGTTGATAGTACTGTGGGGGAATTTGAAATTTTCAGCCATAAAAAGGACAAAAATGGATGTCAATGGGCAAAAGCGATGAACTATGCTAGATATTTCTGGTTTGCCCTTCCCAAACTACTCTACTCCACCTGCTCTGTGTCCCAGGAGGCTGAAGAATTAAACCAGTGGACTCCCTTCCTCCCAGCTTCCTGCTGGGTTCGATCAAGAGAAGCCCCTTGTCGGAGATGGAAGGGCAGGAGCAGCAGGAGTTTAGGGTAGGTTTTCCCCTCACCTCTCCTTGTTGGGCTGTTAGGATTTGCCCATGTTCCTCCCCCAAGGTACAGCTTGTCTCTCCTACTTTCTCTGGGCTTTTTTCTTTCTTCCTTCCTTATGTTTTCTTTTTTCTTTCTTTCTTCCTTCTTTCTTCTTTCTCACTCTCTCTTTTTAAAATGTGTTTCTTTCATGAGAAACACAAAGAGAGAGACACCCCCAACAGGAGTCTCTACACCATGGCCCACCCCCAGCTCAGCCAGTCCAGACCACAGGCACGCCTCACACACCCAGCATGGACAGGAAGGCCTCCGGACAGGAACCAGGGACCTATCCGTGGGCTCAGCACTGAATCACTGCAGCTCCACTATTGGGCCTTCTCTGGGTTTTTGTAACTGTTTCCCCCCCCACACACACACACACACAGGTAACAGCTTTTTACACTTGCTAGTTCCAAGGTGCTTTAGCATTCTTCTTCTTCTTATTATTATTATTATTTATTTTAGGTTTTTGTTATATGGCATGTGTACTCACAGGAAAGGAGAGATACAGAGAGAGAAAGTGAGAATTCACCCTCAAGGGGAATGGCCACACCAGAATCCCTTCTCCTGCGATTTGGAGCACACATTCACCCTTGCCTGGTATAATTTTCAAGCTGCTGGGTCTTGAACTCGAACTGCAGTCTGCCATGTGGGAGTCCAGTGCCTTAACCACCACACCACCTGCTGGCTCCTGCTTTAGCATTCTTCATTTGTATTTCTTAACTTTGCTTAGACTTCTTATTTTTTTAGAGAGGGAGATTTTTGCCATAGGGCACGTGCACTGGCCAGAGAGACAGAAAGTGAGAAATCTCCCCCCGGGGGGATGGCCACGTCGCAATCCCTTCTCTTCCATTCTCCTCTCGGGACTTTAGGCATGCATGCGCACATGCCCAGCGTGAGTTTAAGCTGCTGGGTCTGGGATTTGAACAGCGGTTGACTACATGGGAATCCAGCAACATAACCATCACGCCATCTGCTGGTCCCTCTGCTCAGACTTTTAAAACTAACTCCTCTCTTTATACTCTCGATTACCCCATTTCTTTTTCCTGTTACAGTCACCTTGGTCCCTTAAGCCGGGCCTTCTGGTGAGTTCCTGCAATTCTTTATTTTTTTAAAAAGAATTATTTAATTTTATTTATTCATTCATTTATTTTAATTTGACCAGAGAGAGAGACACGCACAGAGAGAGAGAGAGAGAGAGAGAGAGAGAGAGAGAAAGCAAGCCACCAGATCCGGGACTTGAACCCTGTCAGCTATGTGGAAATGTCTAGCACTTTAACTACCACGCCACCTGCTGGTCCCAAGTTCCCACAGTTCTTATCAGTTTCTTTGTATACTACTTCATGTATTCCTACCTCTCATAAGAGCTATTTCCTATGGTCAGGTCCTTGGCCCACCCTTAGACTATGATCTGGTTGGGTCAGAGTTCATGCTAGCTATCTTGGGTTTCCTCTTTGCCTTTCAAATCGCCTACACGGCAGGTGTTCAGTTACTTCCGGTCAATGACTGGCTGAGTGAATCCATGCTTTATTAAAGGAGTAAGTCCAAGTCTCGGGCCTGACTCTGGGTGAGTGCACTGTCTCCTGCACTGATCATTGTGCAGTGTCACCATCAGCAGCCCACGGAAAAGCACTTTTTCTGGGTCCATTCAAGGCTTTGTGCAGAAAACTCCTCACAGCCAGAAGTCCAGGTGTCCCTCCTTGGTGTCTGGATGGAGAATCCTCCCGTCGCAGTGCTAAGTCCTGATGTGGCTGACCCCGTGACCTGGCCTAGATGCAAGACTTGCACAACTGTTTTCCTGCATGTTTTCTGGAATTCTTTCCTTGAGACTTCTGCCACCAAGTCTTCCCATTCATTATAAAAATATTGTACGTCATGTTTGCCGGAGGAAGTCTAAAAGAAAACATAACAAGGAACCTCAGAGCTCAGATAACTATTCAGGAAGTCCTCCCTACTGTTGGGCAGACGGGCTGAGGTTTCTGAGGGGCGAGGACTGTGTTTTTCATTGAGAAGGTTCGTTGTGCTTGAAATCAACTTTGCCCCTGGACAGCACAGAGACTGGGGAACTCCTCTCTCCCCACTTTCTCAGGACTAGCTCAGGGTATCCACAGCTGTGCCTCACCTCTGGGGCCAGCGCCACATCCTGTTCTCTTCTTTGGAAACTCAAGGGGCATGGAGGGAAAATGGCAGGTCTGGCGGATGAGCGCTGGTTGGAGCTGTGAAGTGGGGTCCCTGTGACAAGCTTATTTTCAGGAGCTCTTCATTCCTGGGGGGATGGGGATGCTACATCCAGGGTTCCCCCTTCACTTCAGTGGACCCATTCCTGTCTCAGAGGAGGAAGCTAGACGTGAGGAAGTAGTGATTGGCTTTGATGGGCTACCAGTCCCAGAGGCCTTGGAGGGTAAGGGACACCTTAGAAAAAGCAATGTCGCTCTCGTGGGGACATTTTAATATTGCAACCTCAGAGTCAGAGGGTGGGTGGGGGCGGGATAGATGCTTCATCCTTCATCACACACCTCCATCCCTCTTCTCTGGGGACAAGCTAAGCCCAACACAGCATCGGGCAGAACCTGAGGGCCTGTGGGAGCTGCTCTTCCCTCTGCGATGCAGAGATGCAGAAGCGGCAACACCAATCATTTCCCTGCCATTACAGGGACCAGCAGTTGGTGTAATGGCTATGTCGCTGGACTCCCATGTAGTTGACTGCGGTTGGAGTCCAGGACCCGGTGGCTTAAACTTACGCTGGGCACATGTGCGTGCGTGCCCAAGATCCCGTGAGGAGAATGGAGGAGAAGGGATTGCAGTGTGGCCATACCCCTGGGGGGTGATTTCTCACTTTCTGTCTTTTTGTCTCTCTCTGTCTTTCTGGCTAGCACACGCCCTATAGCAGAAACCTCTTCCTCCCCCAAAAAATGCCATTATGCACACACACAATCTCGGAAGCTATTTGCCTTTGAGAGCCTCACAACTGGCAGCTCTGTGCTTGAGTCCTGCCATCTAGGAGGGTAGCACAGTGTTTAATAGGCAGGCACGGACCAGCCACGTGACCTCCGTGGGGCGGGGCCCCTGCCCTGCCAAGCATTGACCCTCCCTTTGCAGGATCATTGGGAAGTCTGTGGGAGGTTTCGGAAAGTGGCTGTGTAGCAACCCACGGAGCATCTTCCAAAACTCCCAGGAGCAGGGCAGCTGTCCCAGTGAGAGCCACTCTCCGCTCTCCTCCACAGCCCCGTCCCTCTCTCTCGCTCTCTCTTTTTTTCCCCTGTTTTCTTTTTTCATAGAGAGCACATGAGCATATGCATGAGAAACAGAGAGAAAGAGAGGGAAGGCAGGAGAGGGAGAGAAGCACTCCACAGGGTCACACCATGCAGCGACCCCCTTCCCCAGCCCCCCAGCTCCTCGGATCCTGAGCATGTTTTCAGGCCAACCAGGAAATGCTAACCTGAGGTGAGCCCTGTAGCTTCCAGCCTTGCAGGGCACTGCGTGAGCCACAGTGGCTGGGCCCCTCCCTGACCTCTTATAACTGCACTGTCCCTTCTTTCTAGGTCCAAGTTCTTACTTTCCATTATCTTTCAGCCAGACCACAGGCTTCTCTTTCACCAGCCCTCAGGACAGGGATAGGGCTGGCCTGACCTGCGGTGGCCTTCTGAGGCAAGTGTGGCCCAAGCCAAGAATCCCCAGACCTGGTTGTGCATCAGAATCACTCAGGTGGTATCTTAAAACCAATGGTTCAGGGACCAGAAGATGGCGTAATGGTTATGTCACTGGACTCCCATGTTGTTGACCATGGTTCAAGTCCTGGACCCAGCAGCTTACAACTCATGCATAGGTGCCTAAAATCCCAAGAGGAAAATAGAGAAGGGATTGCAGCATGGCCATCTCCCCTGGGAGCGATTTCTTGCTTTCTCTGCCTCTGTCTCTCCAGTGAGCGCACATACCCTGTAGCAAAAATCTCTCCTCAAAAAATAAAGGCCCAGGTCACTGGCACTTTCACAGGGCACACCAGGTGAGGCTGAACCACAGGCAGTGGAATCGGGATCCAGGGGATGCTCTGGGGCAACAGGGGTACCGACTACCGCGAGTTCTTGGAAGGGACGTAGATGCCGAGAGCCACTCACAACGGCTGTCTCCTCCTGACGTATGTGGTCAGCGCGAGCAGCAGCAGCGTGGTGGCCGCGAGGATCCCTGCCACCGAGACCGCGGCGATGATGATGTTCCTGTGCAGGAAGTGCAGCAGTTGCGTGCAGGGCATGCTCCCGCGGTGGGCAGCTGCAGAGACAGGGAGGTGCTGGCACTGTGTGGGACCCCACCGAGCCACCCCCGGCCAGGACCAATACACAAGGGCGATCCGTTAGCTCTGCTAGTGGCAGAAGTGAGAGCCCGGCAGTGTTCTTGGGGCAAGAGCTGGCTTTGTTCAGGCAAATATATTCCTCAGTTGTTTGGGGGTGCCGCTGCTGCCAGGGGTGATGTGGGATGCTGAGGGAGGGGCTGGCAAGCCACAAAGTGACCAGGAAGGTACATGAAGCACAGCTTGTAGGAGGTGAGAAGACAGGGGAGCGCTCAGATGGGGAGAAGGGGGTGGGGAAGTCCTACTGCAAAGTCTTTTGAGGAACAAGGAAAGGGGGCCAGCAGGTGGTGTAGTGGTTAAGTCGCTGGACTCCCACTTGGCTGACTGTGGTTCAAGTCCCAGATCTAGCAGCTTGAAATTCATGCTGGGTGCATGTGCATGTGTGCCCAAAATCCTAAGAAGAGAATGGAGGAGAAGAGACTGTGGTGTGGCCATCCTCCCGATGGGGTTGATTTCTCACTTTCTGTTTCTCTGTCTCTCTGTCGAGCAAGCACATGCAGTCTGTAGCAAAAATCTGTTTAAAAAAAAAAGATCAAGGATGGCCAGCAGGTGGCGTAGTAGTGAAGGGGCTAGACTCCCACACAGCCAATCATGGTTCGAGTCCTGGACCTGGTGGCTTGAAAATCACCCCAGGCACATGTGTATGTGTACCCAAAAATCCCAGGAGGAGACTAGAGGAGAAGGAATTGAGACCTGGTCATGCCCCTGGGGGGTGATTTCTCACTTTCCATCTCACTCTCTTTCCAGTGAGTGCACACGCCCCATAGCAAAATCCTTAAAAACAATGAAGAGAAAGAGAAAGGAATGGCGAAGGCAAATATTTGAAGCAATCAACAGGGCAGTGATCCAACCTGCTTCTCATAGGAAGGTCTGTCAGGGACAACCTCCTCTCCGATGCTCCCTGCCCCCAGCTTCAGGAAACCCCCATGTACACACCTGCCTGCTGTGAGCAGGTCTCGGGGAGAGGGGGGGTCTGTGTCAACATGATGCAAACATGACGGCAGAGATGACCCTAAGCTCCTGCTGCTCTCTAGGGACTTACAGAGTGGGCTTGAGAACACGGGCAATCATAGCAAGATTGAAAGGAAGGAGACCCCTGCTGACATCAGGACTCCGAGAGCTTCAGTCAGGACATCTGCATGTGATTGAAGACCAAAGAGGGGTCCAGGAAGTGGGGCGCAGGGATGTCTGACAGGAGTCGGCTGTTTAGGGCACAGAACTGCCCAGAGGCGGAGATCAGGCAGGGGAGTGCTGGCCAAGGGTCTTGGCAGGTTAGGGAGAAAACTGGGCATGCCCAACTCCCCACCTCCACCTGTGCAATGCCAAAGGCAGCCAATCAAGCAGCTCCAAGGGCACCGTTGGAACAATTCAGCATTGGCTTTCTAAGAGGTAGGTCAGGACAGTGGGTAGCGATGTGGCGGCGACTTACGGGGCCTGGTACCAGCATAGGCCATGCTTCTACTGACTCTGAGCAGGCCTGGGCTTAGGTAATCCAACAAGGCCGAAGCAGCCAGACAGGCACACCTGGGACCCAGCAGCACAGCACCCTCCTGCATGTTAGGAAACCTTGGGACCCGCATTGGCAGGGCCCAGGAGGATGCTGCCCATGCTATGAATGTCCCCAGCTGTGCACATGCAACCTAAAAGTAGCATCTTTTGGGACCAGCAGGTGGTGTGATGGTTACGTTGCTGGACTTTCATGTAGTAGACCATGGTTCAAGTCTTGGACCCGGCAGCTTAAATGCATGCCAGGCATGTGTGCATGTGTGCCCAAAGCCTGAGAGGAGAATGGGGGCCCACGAGTGCCACCCCCCCCCCCCCCGGGAGGTGATTTCTCACTTTCTGTCTCTCTGTCTCTCCAGTGAGTACATGCACCCTATAACAAAAATCTCTCTTTCAAAAAAAAGTGTAGCATCTTTTAATTTTTACGTTAACTTTTAAAGTTTTTTTTTTCTATAGGGTATGTACACTAGCCAGATAGAGAAGAGAAAGAGAGAGAGAGACAGAGAAAAAAATCACCCCTTGGGGGATGGTCACGCGGCAGTCCCTTCTCCTTCATTCTCCTCTCTGGAGTTTGGGCATATACACACATAGACACCTAGAGTGATTTTCAAGCCACTGAGGCCTGGACTTGAAGCTCACAGTCGGCCACATGGGATCCAGCCAATTTAACCTCCACGCCACCTGCTGGCCCAAATAGCATCTTTTAAAAGGGTGGTCAAGGGGCCAACAGGTGGCATGGTGGCTAAGGTGACTGGACTCTCACATGGTCAACCACAGTTTGAGTCCTAGACCTGGTGGCTTGATTTCTCACTTTCTCTCTCTCTTTCTATCTGTCTCTTTCTGGTCAGATTAAAAAAAAATAAAAATAAATAAAATAAAATTTTTTAAAAATAGTGGTCAAATTCCTGGTGTTAATTTTGCTCATAAGTTTAACTGCAGATCATCTGCTTTTTTTGTTTTGTGAAGAATTCTTTATTTTATTTGATTTATTATTATGACTTTTTAAAATTAGCTACTGGGCACACATGCTTACCAGATAGAGACAGAGAAAGAGAGAGAAAGAGAAAGTGAGAGAACGCCACCAGGCTCAGGACTCAAACCATGGTTGGCCAAGTGGGAGTCCAACACCTTCAGCCCCAGATCATCTGCTTTTTAAATGAATGAAAGGTGTGCTGACGTCTATTTAGTTCAAACGTCACAAAAGGCAAAAGACACGTTCTGGAGTCGGTGTGCGCACCTTACTCAGTTCACGCTACGTAGATATTACCTGGGCTACCTGCTTTGTCTTCAGAGGTCACCTGTTCACTCACATCCCTGTTGAACAGAGCGGACTCTTTGGCCACCTCCTCCTCTGAAATGCGATCTACAAAAGACAAAAGATAAAAAGTGTTTGTCTATAAACAACCATTGGCCTGAGATTAGTTCTATTTTTTAAATTAATTCATTAAGGATCTGGCAGGTATCATGGTGACTGAGGCACTGGACACTCCCACATGGCTGACCATGGTTCAAGTCCTGGACCTGGTAGCTTGCTTTCTCACTCTCTCTTTCTCTCTCTTTGATCAAGTTAGAATTCTAATAATAATGATAATAAATAAAATTTTAATAATTTAATTTAAAAATTAAAGTTCTTTTAAAATTAATTAATCAAGTAATTTTTACTTTTTTTTTTTTCCATAGGGCATATGTGCTGGCCAGAGAAAGACAGAGAAAGACACAGGGACAGGGAAAGTGAGAAATCATCACCCTCAGGGGATGGCCATGTCACAGTTCCCTTTCCTCCATTCTCCTCTTGGGATTTTGGATATGCACGCACATGCCCAGCATGGTTTTCAAATCACCAGGTCTAAGACTCAAACCCCGGAGTTGGCCACATGGGATCCAGCAGCTTAACCACCATACCGCCTACTGCCCTGATTTTTAAGATGAAAGTTTATTTTAGAATCAAAGTGGTAAGTTTGGGAGGATCCTAAAGAAGGGTCTATATGTACCAGAGTACATCAGTGGGTTTTTGGTTTGTTTGCTAGAGAGTCTGCTCCCTTGCCAGAGAGAGATCAAGAGATAGAAAGAAAGGGAGAGGAGAAAGCGCCCCAGGTGGGGTATGGTCACACCACAATCCCCTCTCCTCCATTTCTCCCCCCTTTCAGGATTTTGTGTACACATGCACAAGTGCCCAGCGTGTTTCTCACGCTACTGACTGGGTCCCGGACTCAAACTACGCAGCAGGCCCTGTGGGATCTCTGTCTTAACCCCAGGCCATAGAGCTGGCCCTTGTTTCGCTTTTTAACTCTATGTTTATTTCTTCCAGGAGACGAGAGAGAGAGCAAGAAAGAGGAGTATCCCCAACAGAGTCCTGATGCCACGATCCACCCTTTCGTCAGCCAGCCCTGGGTCACGGGCACGCACGTGCCTGGCACACTCAGAGAGGTCTTCTGATACAAACCCAGAACCTCCTGTGCTACTCGGCCTTGCAGAGTGTCACATTTTAGCATCGGGCCATCAACTGCCCTCCCTCCTCACACTGGTGTTTGTTTGCATTTTTTAAAGAATTATTTAATTTAATTTAATTAATTTATTTATTTTAATTTGACCAGAGAGGGACAGAGCAAGAGAGAGAGAGGAGGAAAGTGAGAAAGCAAGCTGTCAGGTTTGGGATTTGAACTGTAGTCAGACATGTGGGAGTCCAGCGCCCTTAACCATGATGCCACCTGCCGGCCTCTGTTTTTACTCCTTTAATCTAACTAATACCTAGGGAACCTACCCAACACTGGGTCTGTGTTCCTGACACTCAAGTGGCGTCAGAATCACTGGGAGAACTGTTAAAACACAGGTTTCTGGGCTTCACCCCAGAAACTCGGTAGGTCTAGGCTGGGCCTGAGGGTGCACACGCCTCACAGATCCTGAAAGATGTGGCTGCTGGCCCAGGGCCCACACGTGGAGGACTCCAGAGAGAACCTTCCAGCTAGTTGCAGAGCCTATCTGAGCTCCAGTCTCCATTTCCACTTGTATAAAATAGAGATAGTAAGACCTACCTCTCACATGGAGTAATGATCATGAGTATATATTTTTTAAATGAATTCATTATTATTTTAAGTTTGCTGTAGGGGACATGTACTCACCAGAGAGAGATAGAAAGAGAGAGGGAAGTGGAAAAATAAGCCACCAGGTCAGGGACTAAAACCATGGTCAGTCATGTGGGAGTCCGGTGCCCTAACCACCACACCACCATGAACATAGTTTTTAGTCCACAATGTATGATGAGAAATATGTCTTAAGTTGCAAGAACAAGACAGGAAAATGAATCACACTGAAATATATATATATATATATATTATCTTAAGAGGTTTTTGCCTTAGAGCGCATGTGCTTACCAGAGAGACAAAGAGACAGAAACAGTGAGAGGGAAAGTGAGAAATCAGCTCCCCCGGGGGGATGGCCTCACCACAATCTCTTCTTCTCTATTCTTCTCCTGGGATCTTGGACATGCACACACATGTGCCCAGAGTGATTTTCAAGCTACCGAGTCTGAGACTCAAATCATGATCACCCATATGGGAGTTCAGCCCCTTAACCACTATGCCACCTGCTGGCTCCTGAATTATTTATTGGTAGAGGTACTACACAATGACTCAGTAGAAAGAAGACAGCGTTGAAAATGAGAAATACTTGCATCCTCACTCTGCCATTGGGCGTATGGCTCATTTGCATTATGAGACCTGTCAAAGTGCCTGAATGACTTTAGCTCAGAGAAAATGGAGAGGTCAGGAGAGATGTGTTGGCCAGAAACAAAAATGGCCCCGGGAAGAGGCTGAGAAATTTTCTGAGAAGTTCCAGAGAGCAAGTGAGAGTCAATAGGCAAGCACTAGAGAAAAACCTGTTCTAACTGTTTAGACACTAGAAAATAGAGCTATCCAAAAGGGAATGGGGAAGGATGAGAAGTAGTAGAATCTCATGCTCCCAGAAGACTAAAGCCAAGCCAGAATCCAAAGCCAAGCCCTATGTGGAAACCTCTGAGAGCTGGAGGAGAAACTCTGGGTGAGTTTGACAAATCTTCCTTGGCCTAGTTCACAAACAGATGGGGAGAATTATCACAATGTGATTAAGACCATCATGAAGTTCTAATTATTCCTGGAAAAAGAGAGGAATTTGTTCCTTATTTCAACTTGCCTAAGAAAAGAGAGAAAATGCTCAATTTAATATGACTCATAATTTTTGACTTAGGAAATGCCAACTTGTCAAGTCAGAGTCAAGAGATTAACAATCACAAACAGAAAACTCTGGATTATATGGAATGATTTATGAAAGGGTTATGCTTGTGTTGCTCTTTCACAGAGCTGTAAAAAGTTAGACTTGACATTTGAACACAATTTTTTCTTTCTCTCTGTACCACTACAAAACAAAACATGTAAATAAATAAATAAAAACAACAAAATGCCCCTAAACAACAACAAACAATTAAATGCTCTTGTCTACACTTATCTTGGACATGAATTTTCACATACCTAATGTTCCTCAGAGAGTTTGAAGGACTTTTTTTTTGCAGAGGTTTTTGCTATAGGGAGCATGCGCTCGCCAGACAGACAGAGAGAGTGACAGAAAGTGAGAAATTACCCCCCAGGGGGGATGGTCACGCCACAATCCCTTCTCCTCCATTCTCCTCTCGGGATCTTGGGCACATATGCACACGCGCCCGGCGTGAGTTTAAGCCACCGGGTCCGGGACTCAAACCGTGGTTGACTACATGGGAGTCCGATGACATAGCCATTACGCTAACTGCTGGTCCCACAATTATCAAGTTTTGATTCCCAACTTCTTTTCAACTTTTGAAAACCATCAGCTATGAGAAAAACAACAGCCCACGGCAAGAGTAAGCCTGGTAAGCAAATCTCCCTGTCCTTCCACGCTGCAGACTCAGTCCAAGTCACCAAGCAAGCTCATCCTAGCCTCATCAAATTCTTCTTAAATGAGCCCAGAACCAGAATATTTCAGTTTTGTGCCCAAGACCGAGTGGACATCTTACATCATCATCATTTCCTTGTGTTCTGTTTTTGTAGTCTCAGGAGACAATTTCATTGAAATGAGCCATGGGGCTGGCCCCATGGCCTGGTGGTTAAGGAAGCCAGATCGTATATGGTTGACTGTGGCTCAGCTCCTGACCCCAACAGTTGAAAAACTTAAAAAAGCACACAGGGCACATCTACGGGCCCCCAAATCCAAACAGAATTGAGGAATAAGGGACTGCAGCAGGGCGTTTCCCTCCTTTTGTGCTCTCTGGCAAGTGCACATACCCTCTGGCAATAAAAAAGAAAGAAAGAAAAAGGAAAGGAAGCTTTGATTAGATGCAAATAGCATCTTACTGCTGGGTGTCCCAGATCTGAGACTACATCATTAATTGCTCGAATTTCTGCCCACAGACCTGCAGTACACCTTTTTACAGGATACTTCACTTTTCAAAAGGGTAATTTCCATATCCTTTTTCCTATCTAACACCCAACTTTTCTTTTAGGCTTTTGTCATAGGGTGTGTGCGTTTGTCAGAGAGAGACAGAGACAGAGACAGAGAGGGAAAGTGAGAAATCATCTCCCAGAGGGGATTACCGTGCCAAAATCCCTTCTCTTCCATTCTTGGGATTTTGGTCACGCATGCACACACACCTCATGGGATTTTTTTTTTTTTTTTTTTTTTTAGATTTTTGCTATGGGGCACCTGTGCTTCCCAGAGAGAGAAACAGAAAGTGAGCTATCACCCCTCAGTGGGGATGGCCATACCACAATCCCTTTTCCTCCATTCTCCTCTTGGGATTTTGGGGATGCACACATATGTGCCCAGCATGGATTTTAAGTTGCTGAACCCAGGACTCAAACCACGGTCAGCTATGTGGGAGTCCAGTAATGTAACCATTATGCCATCTGCGGATCCCTCGGGTGATTTTTTTTAAGTTACCTAGTTGGAGACTCGAACCGTGATCAGATATGTGGGAGTCCAACACCTTAACCACCTCGCCACATGCTGACCTCAATCTAGCCTTTTTTCTTTTTATTACCATTTTTTAAAAGTTTATCCATCCATTTATTTCCATTAATAAGAGAGACAAAGAGAGACAGAGACAGATAAAGACAGCACCCCCAACAGGGTCCTGACACCACAATACCCACACCCCAGCCTCAACTAATCCCAAGTCATTAGCATGTTTGTGCCTGGTATACTCAGAGAGGTCTCAGGATTTGAACCTAGAAGTGTACCATGTGGATAAGCCTCACAGAGTGTGGCATTCCACCACTGCACTACCATCTGATCCCACTTTGGTTTCTCTGCGGGGGTGGGGTGTAACTGCTGCCAAGGAGGAGGTGTAGACTGTGTGGT